TGATGGATGTATTCTGCGCTCATATGACAAAAATATGGGACACGTTAGTGACATGTTAAATAATGTCACGCATAGTGGGACATCCTATGACTCTAGAATACCAGTAGTCAAATAAAGATGAAAAGTTTTGTTACTTGAATATAAGATTGAAATGTTATTGAATTATGTCTCTATAGGTTAATTTTGAAAATCTCGCAAACGGTAAATATATGCAATAAATGAATTTCTTTATGATAAATAAATTTACTTAAATCAAGAGCTCAATTAGTTTTTTTTATGATTTTTACCAACATTTAGTTTCTGTATCGGTGAGTAGTGTGATATTTTTACTGGGTTAGTGTAATTTACCATTTCATTAACTATTTCAGATCAAGAAATCAAGACCTAGATTTCGATTAACAAAAGAATCGTGAACAGTTCACCACCCGGACTTCTTCAAAAGTTAGTGAGGTCGTCTTAAAATGATAAGTTGTTTACTTTTCGTTCGTTTTTTTTTTATTTTCGTTTGTTTTTTTAGAAGAGACATTCTCGTAACCCTATTGGGCCTTCTAAATTATTGTGTAAGGAATGTAAATTCTAAACTCTATTATTTCGTTTTTGCATTTAATTTATAATTTTATTTTCTTTTAAATTACAGCTTTACATATTTTGTAGATTATTTTATGTATATTCTGGAGAGATTTGTGAGAGAAAACTCTTATAATTACTCTATATATGATTTGATGATCTATTGGTGATGTACTCACATTTAATCAAAGTAAATTTTTTTTTTGTCTTGGCCGTGAATATACACATTTATCAAATTACGTTAAATTTCATATTTTTTGCATTTCATTTTTTTATTCTTTTGTGATTGCGTGCATTTTAGAAATTAAATTTTCTAATAGTTAAAATATAAAAAAAGATATGTAAATGGTGTGTGCAAGGTTTCAACATTCTTGATATAAAAAAATATTATGATGTGATAATGTTTAATTTATAATTTTTTAAAGGGAGAAATTAATTTATTAATTGAATTTGTAATGTATTACTATAATTTTATGTAAAATTATTTAAAAAAATTAAATTAACTTATGTAAATCCATAAATAAATTTAATAATATTCTGAAGTTTTCCAAGTGTAGGTTAAAAATTCCAAATTTTACCGAGAAAGAGGCAAATATGGCGGTCAAACTTCTACTTCTGCAGGCTTCTGACGAATTGATCGGTCAAACCTCAAAGCTGACCGCCATTTGCCAAATTGTTTGAAAATAATTCGTGCTCACTGTAAATTTCCACATCCTAACTTATCTTCGACCTTTTTCGAAATAGGAAAGTTCCTAACTTCTGGTACTAATTCATTGTGGATTTCACTTCCACTTAGACATCTCTTTTGCGGATTAGGAAACCACGTACGCACTTCAAGTTTCTTAACGTAATATATTGATTCACAAAATAGGAAAGTGAATATTACTTCTAAGCTGGTAACAGGCGCGTCCTCTGCCGCTTTTCTATCATTTTTTTCCTTATCTCTGCTCTATCATCATTGGCAGAAAAATTGTCCAGTTCAAGAAACTTTTATCTTTTAGCTATTCATTTTAACTTAAAATCATTCTTAATATTTTATCTTTTCTTTTTTTTTTTTTGAATTTAATTTTCCAAAAGATATATGTCCATTTCATTTTATGAAATATGATTTTATCTATAGTACATTTAAAATTCAAATTATGATACAGGTTTGTTTTATATATATAGAAGGATAGTGTTCGGTCTTTCACGCAACACTAGTGAGGGAAAAGGAAAGCAGCTACGATGGCGACAAGGAGAATCTCGTGCTTGCTCTCTCGCACCTTTTCTTCTTCTATCTTTCCTCGAGGTGAGTCGGTAAACCTCAATTTCTCGATCAGAGATAGGTTCTTTTGCTTCTTGATGCTGTTCTTAGTTTTTCCGATTCTCCTGGAAATAGATATATCTACATTTTTATAATGATGATGATGATCGCATTCGCACTTAATAGTATGATGTTGTTATTGTATCTCAAAATAACTTCTGATTCTAAGGAATATCTATTGATCGTGGCGACAGTGATTGTAATGTTAGAAAGACTTTGATTGGAATCTTTTGCTGTGAGAAAGTTAATTTTTTGTTTGGCTGCCGAGAAAAGCAATGACAGTGGAGGAATCGCGTTTGAATCTTAAATCTAACTCTGCAATATCTGTTTCTCTAGTGACCAATACAACATAAAGCAGAGAATTCCAGACGTCGCTTCCGTTTTCTTTTATATGATTATATCAGTATCCGAAACAAGTATCGAACCGAAAATTTTATTTCCCACGCAATCGGACAACCATTTTTTCTTTTGATACAAATTCGATTCTGCAATCGCATTTATTTCGTTATGATCTTACGCTAGGATTATCAGAAGTTATTTTTGTTCGCAAAGCCAATTGTACTTTGACATCTTTCCTATTCTAAGTGTCTAATGTTTACTGTGTAGGGCTATACCGTAGATAAATAGGTTGCATCGTGTCATATTAATAAAAGCAAAAATCTAGTTTAGCATCTGTTACACTCCGTTTTTTCTGGGCTATGATTTTCTCTTATTTATCTTAGTTCATGGGTAGTACATGATTACTAAATTCCAATGCTTCAGGAAGGAATTCTGTTTTCAGCAGAGGAACCTACAATTACAGCACTGCGGTTTCTCTGGAGGAACCAATTAATCCAAATGTCGACATAAAGTTTACTCGACTCTTTATAAATGGACAGTTTGTTGATGCAGCATCAGGTGAACTCTCAATTCATTGAAAAATTCTGATGTCGTTAATTATATGCATTTTTTAGTTTTTAGAAAACCCTTTTTCTTAGGTTATATAGGCTGATTTACGTGTGCATGAACACTGGCTCGAATGAGTAACCTAAGGCTATGTATCATATGCGAGATTCGTTTGCACAGGAAAAACCTTTCCTACTTTGGATCCCCGAACAGGTGATGTCATTGCAAATGTTGCTGAGGGTGATGCAGAAGATATTAATCGAGCAGTCTCTGCTGCTCGTAAGGCATTTGATGAAGGACCTTGGCCGAGGATGACAGCTTATGTAATCCTTATTTACTTGTTTGATTTTTGTTTAAAGCATAAGATTTGAAGATTTATGCTTTATATTGCCTTTTGTTTTCCAGGAAAGATCAAAGATATTGCTCCGTTTTGCTGACTTGCTAGAAAAACATAATGATGAGATTGCAGCACTTGAGACATGGGATAATGGAAAGCCTTACGAGCAGTCTGCAAAAGTTGAAATACCGATGCTCACACGCTTGTTCCGATACTATGCTGGTGGGCGAGTAAAGAAAATACAGTAATGTTTCTATAACGTGTGTAGTTAATTCATCTCATGCCATTTTTTTTTATCTTTTTACGAGTTCCTCAGGTTGGGCGGATAAGATCCATGGTCTAACTGCTCCTGCTGACGGTCCGTATCATGTGCAAACTCTTCATGAACCGATTGGTGTTGCTGGTCAAATTATTCCTTGGAATTTTCCACTTCTCATGTTTGCCTGGAAGGTTGGGCCGGCATTAGCATGTGGAAATACCATTGTTCTTAAGACAGCTGAGCAGACTCCCTTGTCTGCTCTTTATGTTTCAAGTCTTTTCCATGAGGTAGACTGTGAATTTTTTCCATTACTTAATTCTTTTTATTGTCCTATTTTCCCTTAGTTGAGGATTACATCCAAATTTTGACACTATATATTGTAATTAGAATGTTGCCCTGTAAGGTACAGTATATTTGGAAGTCAAATTATTTTTTAATGTAAGAATTCATTTTAAATGAATGATTAACATCCATCTTACTGTTACTATTAGGTTTATAGGACGAATAGATACATGTTATAATGCCTTCAAGATTTGCAATGATTATTTTTAACTCATGTCTGTTGATTAACAGTCTCATATTGTTCCTGAACATATGTTAGTGCAGAATGATTTTTCTGCCGAAATGTATATTTTCTTTTCTTTTTTTTTTATGGGGTTATCTTTGTGGTAGGCTGGACTACCCGCTGGCGTTTTAAATGTGGTTTCCGGTTTTGGTCCAACTGCTGGTGCAGCACTTGCCAGTCATATGAAAGTGGATAAGGTAATATATAATCTGGACATCTGTACTTCAGCATTTCATGGCTTCATTTTTATGATTTAGTCTAGTAGAATTATAAAACAAGGTTATTTTCCTTTGTAGAACTGCATGCCATAACCTGGAAACAGTTTTCCTGAATTATATAGAGGGTGTATCTTGTTTCTGTTATGATTTAGTAAATATCTGTAGGATAAAATTGAATTCCTGCAATTACGGGGCCATTAATGATGGTAGGCTATGTATCTATTAGGGTATCTAGTTTACAGCAGAGCTAATGGAGAGGGGGAAATTAGCTTTCCCTCAGTTCTTCTTGGAAATAGACTTGGTATAGAGTGATTTAGCTTGAGTGCTACGTAGCGAGTATAGAAAATAGTCAATTGTGGTCTTGGAAGTCTGGGATACCATTGATTTGTTTCGGATTTAATTAATATTACATGTGACAGTGAATAACAATCTAGCTAACTTGCATGTGTTGTCTGAAAAACTTGTGCACTTAAATGGTTAATGCTCTTGCTGCAGCTTGCTTTCACTGGATCAACTGAAACTGGAAAAGCTGTTCTCCAATTGGCTGCAAAAAGCAATCTTAAGCCAGTAACCTTGGAGCTTGGAGGAAAATCTCCTTTTATTATATGTGAGGATGCAGATGTAGATAAGGCAGTTGAAATGGCACACTTTGCTCTATTTTTTAATCAGGCATGTCCAAAATATGTCTTTAAAACACCAAGGTTATTTTAAGCCAAAAAATTTATGCAATTAACATCAAGTTGTGTATAATGTGCTACCTTCAGGGCCAATGTTGTTGTGCTGGCTCTCGCACTTTTGTACATGAGCGTATTTACGATGAGTTTGTTGAGAAAGCAAAAGCACGGGCGGCAAAACGTATAGTAGGGGACCCATTTAAGAACGGCGTTGAGCAAGGTCCACAGGTGAGTAATAATTTATATGAAACTGATAGTCAATTTTTTGTTTTGAGAAGGCCAAGTTGCATCTATGATTTAAGTTAGTTAGCTATGGCTTATAGTGCTGATAACCTCCTAAATGAATAACCAGGTTGATTGTGATCAATTCAAGAAGATCCTAAATTATATAAGATCAGGTATTGAAAGTGGAGCAACTCTTGAAACTGGAGGCGAGCGACTTGGTAATAAGGGTTACTACATTCAGCCCACTGTTTTCTCCGATGTTAAGGTACTTCAAAGATAAAAACCCAAATTTCTACCAATTTGTCACATGATTATGAAGATAACTAACCTGATGAATAATGATCACCATATCAGGATGACATGCTGATAGCAAAAGATGAGATATTTGGTCCTGTTCAGAGCATATTGAAATTCAAGTGAGAATCTCTGTGTCTTAGCTCAATGTACAGCATAAAAGTATCCTTGTTGCTAACTTCAATATTTGGCTGATTGCAGGGACCTCAATGAAGTTATTCAACGAGCAAATGACACTCGCTATGGGTTGGCTGCTGGGATATTTACACAGAATCTAGACACTGCTAACACATTGACACGTGTCTTGCGAGCTGGATCAGTGTGGATAAATTGCTTTGATGTCTTTGATGCTGCTATTCCTTTTGGTGGATACAAGATGAGTGGACATGGAAGAGAAAAGGGTATCTACAGTCTTTCCAATTACTTGCAAGTGAAGGCTGTTATTACTGCCTTGAAGAATCCAACATGGCTCTAAACTGCCTACTTTTTATTTTCACTCTTCTTATTAATCAAAGACACACCGATTTCATAAAATTGAGGTGTGAACAGATAATTATGAATGTGATAAAGGAGGGGATGATGACGATGATCATAGAAACATTTCCAACTTTAAAATCGAATAAGATAAATTATGTATCTACTTTTTTTAAATAAATTTTTTTATATCAAATATTAATTTATTATAATTATTTTAATTAAAAAAATCTAACAATCATAATTTTTTTTTTTTTTTACTAAAAGCATTAAAATAAAAGTCAAGTAACTTCAAATTTGTGATCTTTAAATAGAATATTTGCATCCACTTATAACTAAAGTTATATCTATGCTCTGGGTCTCTTTGTTACCGATTGAAAATTGATTACTGTTCGATATATTTTTTTCCCCAAAGCAAAACCTGTTTAGTATTCATTTTGGCTGTGATACCCTCTCCGCCAAGTCTCTGACAGCATGTCTGCTGCATATATCTACCCAATGTGGCGGTCGGTGTCTGTTTTATAAGTAAGAAAAGTAGACAAGTACAATTTGAAGACAACAAACTTTTGTCGTGACACTTGCATAGATAAACAAAATAAATATAAACTCTTAAAATTTTTAAGTTTTGGGCCAAACCCATGTCTCCACACGAAGTCTTGTCTGCAAATTCAGGCAACAGGGCTTGTGCATATGTACCATATTATTAGTGGCCTCCAGTTAGCCGTATAGCTGTCTCTGCTTAAAATTATGTCACTCGTTTTACTGTAAGTTCTGTCCTACCCTTCTCCCTGTTGACTACCTCTCACCAGAACATTCACAGTGCTTGGAACAAACAAAAAGATAAAAGTAAAATACTTGGGGCATCTGTTGTCAGATTTGATTCATCACGTCTTTAGCTGATGATTTTCTAATTATAATTATAATTATCTGATGGGTGTTTTGCAATATCTGAGAAAGCATCCAAACCCGAGATCTGTTGGGCGACATTTTTTGGGATTCTCAGAGATTAATTAGCTTTTTGCCACTTAAATTTTAATCTACATCAAATCCTTTTACAGGTGAGTTTAATTAGCAAACAAAAATGAGAAGACAGAGTTAGAAACAAGTAGGATTACAATCAATGATTTGTATATCCAAGACAGAGTTAGAAACAAGTAGGATTACAATCAATGATTTGTATATCCAAAAATTTGCTTCACTATTTATTCATTTCCTCCTGCAAGAGGGAAAGAATTAAACAAAAAAGAAATTAAAATAAAATTATTTGCACTCTGGTGGCATGACTTTATACCTGGAAGTATCTTTGCAGTAAGAGTAAAACATGAGCTTTCTTCTTGCCCAATCCATAGCCAAAGCTTGTTGCTTTGACAAGCTAGCAAAGTCTTGTCCATCAATGGGGTCCAAGCTCGAAATACCAGACTTTGAACATGAACTCACTGCCTGTACTGTATGATTATTATTGTTATTATTAGTATAGGTGCAGCCACCGACTTCCATGTCGGCAAATGAAGCAATAAATGGTGCGTATTTGTAGTTAACAGGGTATTTTCCTCCATGAGTTGCCCACTGAGATCCATCCCAGATCGTCACGTACAGTGACATAGGCCTTGATGGATAAGCTGATGAGAAGGCACCTCTGTTTGGGAATTCTCTAACTGGTATGTTATCCACTAGAAACCTGCATTTCATTCAATCAACTCCGATTACCTATACAAAATCTCTCTGTAGTTTGTAATTTTATATATATATATATATATATACGCACACACACAGGCACAAACACATACACTATATGGTGACTGTTCCAGATGATGCTGTAGTAATGGTGTTGTTGAGTTGGGTCAAACCAGAAGTAGAACTTTTCTTCTCTTCCTGTACTTACACTTCCATTTGCATATATATTTGTTTGAAGAACCCAGTCGTCTCTCTTGTCGTGACCCAGAAGTTCAATGTCTATCTCGTCGTGGTGGTGGGGATAAGTGTCTGAGTTAGACAACTGTAACACAAAACATAACAAATTCCCAGGTCTAATTAGCCCCACTTTCTTCATTCTTCAACTCTACATAAACCCTACAGATCAGATCAATGGAATATTAAAAGATCATGAAGCTTTTTTTACATAGAATGCCACAACAACTCCGGAGGAAAAGCCAGCAGGCAACTTAATTGCAGCGCTGAAGAATCCATAGTAATATTTGTTCTTTGAGAGAAATCCAGAGCCTGTAGAAAAATTAGCCCAGAAAATTAAATTTCATCTTGAGATTTTCAACAACAGAAAACGAATGTGAGAGGATTTGTGACCTGAAGATTTGTCAAGAGCAAGTCTAGCCATGGATCCATTACTGATAACTTGAATATTTTTGCCCCCAAAAAAGTTTGAGAAGGCTTGATTAACGGAGACATGAGAGAAGTAATCTGTGAGGCGAGTAACATTAGGGGTAGTATAATGCCTGTCGTGTGAAGAAACCACCATTGCCATGCAAAACAATGAGAGAAGAACCAGTAAAAGATTGTTCTGCCAAATTAGCGCCATGGTTATTTGTGTTGATTAGATGGTGTAATATAAATATGTATGTATATATATATAGTGGGTGCAAGTGCTTAGTTGTGAAGTAGCTGGCTGCATTTTCCTAGTATTTCTGCTCTGTGGATGATTGGATCTAGAGAAATTACATCATGTGGGGGTTGATAAAAAAGTTAGGCCCATAAAGTTATAAATTCTGATGGGATCTTTTTACCCTTTAACCAAAAAAAAAAAAAGAGTCTTTTTAAATCATTGAATTCATATAACACCTTGGGAATCACTTATGAATATGGGGTGTGGATTGTTGTCGCCCAAATTAACACGGAGTTATTTGTGACTTACAAAGGAATTTGGATAATTCATTTTTCTCTTTTCAAGTCTTTTTCTCTTATGATTAATTTCTTCTTCTCTCCAATTCAATATATTTTCTTCAAGGGGTATTATCAGGTGGATTTATTAGTTTGGACCACTGGTTGATTGGTCAAAAGAGCAGGCAGTGGATCAAATCAATCCAGTTCTGCATTAATGGTTGGTTTGATTAAAAGCCTAACCATGAATGTGAAGGAAAAGCCGGAAGTTTGAGAGGATAAATTACAAACTTTTTCAAGGTAGATATTTAATATATAAGTATATATAAATCCATAATTTTAATTTTAAGGAAAAATTTTTAACTTTTAATATATATATATATATATATATAAATTTCTAAATTTGCTACAAACATATCCTAATTGTGGATAAGCCATTTTGGGTTTTGATTAGCTAAGATGGTATATAAAGTTGGGTGGGTGATTTGATATAATATTTTTGTGATGTAATTAATCATTTCAGTTATCCAGTAGGGTTTTAGCTGGCTTACATTTTCTTGATATCGCTATTAGCCCCCATTAATATAATCAATCTGCAATAAAATCTCATGGAAGTATCCATGAAAATCATGCTCCAACTATAACGACCTTATGGGTAGATTCTGATAGTGTTAAAATCTCAAGAATAAAGAAAATGGAGAGATAAACCATAAGACAGGAAATTCCGGCCCGCCCAGCCTGTTTGGTTGGTTATAATGATTTTGGACGATTGTATGTATATATATATATATATATATGCCAGTTGTAAACGTGGATTTGCTTACATATATACATGATGGGCTTTTCCATTACAGTACTACACATCTACATAATATATATATATATATATATATTATGTAGACACTTGGCAGAAAATCACAAACAACAAGTCGCATGCAAAAGTAAACCATACCATCTTACATGCCAATTTGCATGTATTGATTACTGATTTATAAAGTTTTCAACCAAATCTTCCATTTAAAGAAGGCCTTTTTAGCAATTATAACAAAAAGGGCTCCAATAGTTTCAAGTAAAATGGATTGGGCCTTTAATGAAGATATCAGCAACAATAAAAGGTTTTAAACAATCTATTAAACTACTTGTTCGTAAAATTAAGTTTATATGAATAAATTATGTTAATACACTTTCACCTAGAATTAAACTCAAAATTAGTTAATGGAACTGGCCATTCACTCTCTGGTATGCACATGTTATGTATATGTGTAACTAAAATTTCTTACCAAACCGAGTTAGATACTAACTTTACATGAATATTTTTTTTTTTAAAAAATAGAGAAAATAACATTTTAGCAAGCTACTTTTGCCATATAGAGAATGAAATAGTGTATCAAAAAGACTTCAGTTTTATTCAAAAAAAAAATTCAAGTTTATCTATACACTATTTTCTAATTTACTTATAATATGAATTTTTAAATTTTATCCTAATTAGTTATTATTATTATGATATATTTGATGTCATTAAATAAATATTTATGTGACAGACGATGTGTCCCTATGCAAATTTGATTTTAGAAATATTGCTATCATAATAGTCACGGGTCACCACGTGATAATCACACTAGTAATGTAAAGACACGAAACTTAAAAAAAAATAAAATCATGAATTAAATGCGGAAGCGAAACAATAGAGTTTATGATTTACATTCCATACACAATAGTTTAAAATATTCAATAGGGCTACGAGAATGTCATTTCTAAAAGAACAAACGAAAATCAAAGAAATAAACGAAAAGTAAACAATTGAGCATTTTAGGACGACCTTCACTATCTTTTGAAGGAATCCGGTTGGTGAACTATTCACAACCCTCTTATTGAT